ACTGCTTCACCGTTCTTCGTCTCCACAGAAAAGCCCAGCCACGCACCTCTAGCAGCCTTGGCGCTTTTGCTCTCTCCCCTTCCCCACTGAAGACTTAACAGCTGTGACCACAGTCTCCCTTTTCTCCCTGCTATAGTCAGATCTAGGATCATCTGACCCATTCCAAAGCCACAGTGTCACAGTACCTTTGCCTTCCGTCTCTATGTTCTTCATGTTGCCAGTGACCTCCACCTTCTCTAGGTTTCTGCTGTGGGCAACTGCATCCTTGATGACTTCTCAAATCTCACTTGGAGCTCTGACAGTCATGGAATACTACAGCCACGAATCTTACTTCCCAACGGCAATCTCTTGCTATCATTTCCCCCAGTTATTTCCTTCCTAGCCATTCTTTGATCCTCGCTGGGTTTCCAGATGCTTATTCCCTTTCCTCCTCCTGTTTTTATTTCCTATGCTCATGAGCTTATAACGCCAAATGCCTTCTTGCTTCTATCTCCAAATCCCATGTCCTAGTTTACTTCCATCACACTCCACCCTCCCCACCCTCCCGATTGTCTATGTCCAAATTTCTACTGCTGACCTCCACTGGTAAAAAAATCTGCTTCAATGATAGAGACATGAAAACATTGTTCTCTGACCACAAATGGTCCAGCACCAGAGCCATTTGTGTTTTGTTTACACACTTTGTTTTTTATACATGAATCTATACTATCTGGACTCTATTCCCGCTAGCATTTCTACTTCCATTCACCAGAGAACTGAGTCTCCTACTTTGTTAAGGAAATAGTCATTATCAGTCTTTGCTTTCCTCCAGTCACTAAGCCTGATAGACCGTGTTTGTCCCACTCAGTATTTCCTGCCCTTCTATTATTATAGAAAAGATGCTATTGCTCAAATTTAAAGGTCACTGCTCTGTCTGTGCTAGGGATACTATTTATGCTGACATGTTAGCTACCCTTTCCTCCAGCATATACTTACAGAGTTCGTTTTCTTCCTTTACCAGTCCTTCTATAAGAGTAACATTGAGAAACATCTTACAATCTTTAAACGGTTACAAAAGCAACAACAATAACAAAAACCAACCATGGTGGTGCATGTCTGATATCCTAGTCCTAGGGAGGTTCAGGATGGCGGCTCGGAAGTTCAAGGCTTGTCTGTTATGGGGTAATTTTGAGGCCATCTTGGTCTATACAAGATTCCATCTTAAAATTAAATAGTCAAAAGAAATAAACCAAGATCCTCGGTGTTCCAGTTGCCTCTCACCTTGTACTCATTCTTTGATCTATAATAATTTGTTCTCTTTCCTCACGCTACAAAGAAATTATGTTTTCCTTCTGGGTTGGTAAATACAGCAGGCATCTCACAGTTCTGAATATTTGTGAGTGTTATCCGCTCCTAGGTTTTCTTTAAATGTTGTTAGAGAAGACTTCAAACATGGCAAACGTATATTAATAAATGGACTGATGTCAATCACTTAGCTTCAGTAATTACCAACACACATGCAATCTTATTTATCTGCATTCACAAGCTCTCCCTTTCCCAAATGACTTATTTTGAGCAAATCACTGGCAGCAGTATAGAAAATATATTTATATTTTCCATAAATATTCTGGTATGCATCCCTAGAAGGTAATGGCATTTAAAATTATTATAATATCATATTTAAAGATTCATGAATGCCATTAAATAGTAGTCATATGTCTTTGACAGCTTTTTAAACCTTTTAAACAAGCTGACAGTTTTAAGTAAGATTTGTGCGAGATCCCTATTTTGTGAGATATCTGAAAAGTCCTCAAGCATGGTTTTCTTCTATTTTTTTAATACGTAGTTTCTATTTAATATTTTTTTTTGTTTGGTTGTCGTTGTTTGTTTTACATTTGTTGCAGATTTTTTGTTCTATTTTGTTTTAATATATATTTTCTATTTAATTTGCTTTTTGGTTTTTGTTTGTTTTTATTGTTGTTTGTGCTTTGTTGTGGAAATTAAATCACATGTCTTGTCAATTTCCCCATAGTCTGGCAGGGCTACCTATATTCTTGTGGTGTTATTTAACATGTGACATCTTTGCTTCCTTTTGTGTGTAATCTCAGTGAGATAAAGATTGATATGATTCAGAACTCATTTTTTTTGTGCAAGCCCTCTATAGAAAGGACATATCTATTATCTTAATTACAAGTATTCTTTCTAATTTTTATAATAATACTAGCCATTTGAATTGATACAATTCAAATATGTTTCATATTTCTGTGTCAACTGGGACACACACACACACACACACCAATTAGTAAGCCTGTAGCACAAGTCTTTTGGAAAAGATAGAATAAATATTTTTTCTATTACTCATCAATTTTTAAAACAATGAGCTTACTTCTCTATTATTATCCTAAGGTGATCCATAAATATCTTTATGTTGGTTTATTTTCTTCAATGCACCAAACAGTCTTCAAACTATTACCCTTATTGATATCTTGTCCAGAAGAATTTACTCAGGATAACTTCCAAGTCCTTTGACAAAAAGCTTTGTAGTTGTGGGCATACAATTAAATGTGTATCCTGCTTCAGAGGGAGAATAAGATAGTCCTCTTGGGTCCCTAGTTTACTTGCACTTAGGAACACACTTGGAGATCAGGAAGTTCTTTGCCATAGGGTGACCATAGTTTCTAGAGCTTTCTTATCATAGAACAATGGGTTTTTCTAATTAAAAGATAATAATACCTCAAATTCTTACAGATACTTCTAAGTCAGGAGTCCTAGGGAACTGTTGCTTCACTCCATGCCTCTGTAGCTCCTTTCCACCCACTGATCATATGACAGTTCTCAATGAAAGTAACGTGGCTGTTTATTTTATCTGGACATACAGAGCTAATAGTCAGAACGGTGGCAGCCAGGGCCTACCAGTCATATTAGTACTAGAATTGGTTTAAGGCAGTTTGTTTTTCTGGTATTTTTCCCCCTTGAAATATATAGCTTTAGGAATTTATACCCAAGTATGTGAATGTTAAAGCCACTTCAAACCATTTCTCAGTGTAGGGATTTTTGTCATCACTTTGAAGTACACTAAAGTGACTCAGATCATGTTCTTCTAAATTTTCTTATAAATGAAACTCCCTTATGAATCATTTTTAAAGTTGTCTTATTTTTTTAAGTTGAGAAAATACTTTAATGACTCCTATATCAAATATACCAAGCAGAGTATATTCAAAGAAATGTGATCATTATTTTTTGTTGAGCACATAATGTGTGTTGGTCACTGTTCAAAGTTTCAAAATTATATAAAGAAATAGAAGAAATGACAAAGCACTATTCTCATTTCTTTCTGCCTAACTCTTCTAATTTAGATATGTTTTCTAGAGTTCAATTTATAATAGTGTGGAAAAGTCATTTGTTTTCTAGTTTTCCTCTCACAATGCCCCGTTAATGAAGACTTCTGTGTTTTTTTCCAGCCTTTTGTCCTTTGGTTAATCGTTCAGTGACTGCTCCTTAGCAGACATACTTTCATGCTTTGGCTGCTGTATCTTCAGCATGGATTCCCAAACATGAGAATGGCTAGTTGAGGACTGCAGTATTTTTAGATCTTCCCAAACAATTCCTTTTCCATTCCCTAAAAGCACAAGAATGGCTGGATGTTTTCAGATGTGGAATTGTTAGATTCTGTTCACCTGATATTTGGAAATAGATTTGTGAATGTGAATTTCCCCTTTAAATGAGGCTCTGCACATTTTCAGACAATTGTGACCACATCTGTCGTCCTAACATTGTTATCTCCCCGAAGAGCCATGGACACACCACAAAACTGCTTCTTTCCCATTCTTGACTTGATTTCAGCTCCCTTCTCTGTTGCCACATCTCTTGACGACCTTTGAGACACACCTCAACCGAGTCCCCATGCTTCCTTCCAGATCCTGGGACTACAACTGTCATTGCCCTTCTGACTGTTACAAGATATGCAACTGCAGCTCAAGGCCTCTCCCTTCTTCTGTGCTTCACAGCAAACGGCCTGCTCGAAGCTCTCCACTGAACTTCCCAGGCACCACGAGCTCAGCTCAGCTTGTGTAAGACTTTCCCCTAACATGTCCTTCCTTGAGTGTTCTTCACTGCATGCAGTGAAGGCTACCACATGTCACTAGTTTCTTTGTGCAAAGACATGTCTGTGTGGATGTGTGCATGTACATAAGCAAAGGGTGCTTCCTCTTGTGTGTGCTTCTGTGAAGGTCAGAGGTTGGTACTAGGTGTTTTCTGTCTTGTTATTTTCTACCTTACTATTTTAACAGAGGGGACCCTATGGAACCCAGAGCTTTTCATTTTGGTGAGATTGGCATCTCCCCAGATTCCCTATGTGTTACTGAGTCTGTCTCACAGTGCTTCCAGTCAAATCACCAATCACCCACTTCTGGGGCTTTTTATCTCTTTTGCAGTTCTGTCTGTAGTCATCGTTCTTTCTGTCCCAAACTTTCCAGTTGCACACCACTCTTTTTTCTCCTGGCCATTGCACCTTTTTTTTTTTTTTTTTTTTTTTTTTGCTCTCATAGTACAAATGACATTTTAAGCACAAGTAACTTATATCTCAGAATACCAGTTGAGGAACCCCCAAAGGCTCAAGAAACCAGATTAGATAAAAGATACACAATCAACTATCAAGACAAACCATACAAACATTTCCCCCATAGCTATGAATGTGTGTAAGTAAATGTTACAGATCCTAGAGAGATTAACAGCAAGATTCGTGAGGGTTTATATTAGTAGAATTAGTGAAGAAGGATTAGGATTCATCATTATTTGATTAACATATGTTTATACATTATATAATACAATTAACCTGTTTTCAAGTATAACTCAAATATTTATAACAAGTATGGAATGTGAAAAGGTCTGGCATATGGAGTTCCCCAGTAGGCTGTCTGAATCTCAATGCCAGGCAACAGCTATTCTCTGCAACTCTCCTAGAAGGGAAACATCCTCCCCCACTGTGTACTATGGAGCAGTTTCTACAAAGTCATCCTTACCTTGGTGGTCCACAGTTTGACAGTCCAGTCAAACGATGACGTGACAAACAGATGAGAAAAGTCGATGGGACCCACTGCCATGTGGCAGTTAATGCCTGTCACTGGCCCTTGGTGACCTTCAAAGACCTCACCGATGCCTGCTTTGCTGCAGAGAGCAAACATGTAGCATTTGAGTGACTGGGGCAAAGTAATAATTGATTACAAACAACAGCACTCATCTCTACATGTGCTAAAACAACCATAGATGATCAGGAATAAAACCATTATTGATAGGAAGACATTGATGCTTAAGAAATCTTGAGAATGTAATAATACAACTTGTATCATTTATCTATTTCCCGTGGTCTCACAGGTTTCATAGTTATGATGCAACAAGTTCTGAGATACTCAGGCCCCATTCGAGTGCTCTCTAAGGAGCTCATGGGCTTGACAACTCAATACTTTTTTGAAAGAATAGTTGTTTATTCCTTCTAGGAAATGTCTTAAGTTGAGTTGACATGTCTAAAACACGTGACATCTTATGAAAATCTTTGCTACCTCAAAATAATTCACATGATATCAATCTAATTTGAAAAAAATAATATGTTCATTTTATTGGAAACTGAAAAGAGATCAGAGATTCATTTTGGAAATTCCATAAGGGAAGGTATTTTACATTTTTTTGCTGCCAAGTGTTTAGCATACAATAAATGCTCTATAAATATTTGTTGAAGTATATAACAAAAAAGAAAGACAAACTTATGCTTCTTTGAAAAGCACAATTGAGAACAGGGACACATATTTTAAATGTCATTCTTAGACATGGATTATTTAACCAAGCTAGGATCATTTCCAGCCTTTTAAGAAATTATATAATAGTCTGTATGCAGTCATACACAATTAGAAAACTCTTAGAACATATACCCACCACGTTATATTTTAAAAATCCATATGTATGAGGTCATAGGCATGACAAACATGTAGGGAATGTAGAATCTCAATATTATGTCACTAATAGCAAAATTGAATTCGGTTATTAAAACATTTGGGCCCAGGGGCACCAAAAACTGTCAGCGTGCTGAGTAAAATTTGAGGAAAACACTGTTGAGTATGTGCCCTGTAACAAGCACTCAGTGATTATGCCCAGGAAAATGGCTGACAGTGCTTCTAACACATGATCAGCAAACAGTGCTCTGCTGAACATGAGTAGCTGATCTTTGAAGTGGCCCCTGGTGAGATCCACTTGTTTTTAGCAGCATCCTGAAAGGACTTATAGGGTGCAAAGTGAAGATCTTGTTTAGTTTGAGAAAGTGGATTTGCACTTATGTTGAGTAAAAAGTAGAAATCCACCAACTGTCTCCTATAACACTTAATCACCCATTCAACACTATGACAGAGCCAGTGCTTGCAGCTTAACGACCTCACCAAGATTTGAATTCTATATTTCAGATGGATGGACCAATGTCAAAAGCAAAGCCAAACTTCTAGTAAAAGACATTTGTGGTGTGAGTCATAGACACATTCTTCTGCACAACAATGCATATTCTGGTCCTGCTGGCAATAGCCACAAAATAAAAATAGCCATCATTTAGAAAGTGATTCACTTAAAAAAAATGTGAAAAAAAAAGCAGAGTTTACACTCCAGCTTTTAAAGACCCAGAGTGTACACACCCAGGATGTAACTGGATTGGGTCAACCTAATGTCTTTCTTATTGATGCACACGGAGATAAAACTGCGGCCATGTGGTTCATTCACTAGGCAATGTGTGCCACATAATGGCACTTTATTAGTGTTGCATGTATCTATGTACTTGCTTGAAACACTGTCGTCAGCTTCCCAATGACAAGAACCAGGTTGAAACGGTACCTGTGTACTCAGAACATCCAGCAATACTCTCTGTAGAGAAGAGGAGCAAATGTTTGAACAACTGAATCACTTGATCAGATCTTTTTATGTTTGGTGTGTGGGCTTAGTCAAGTCTTACTATTGTAGAAACGTTGGACATGGACCTGTATGACCTGTCTTCCCAGGTCATCTTTAAATCATCTAAGCAGGGCAGAAATGGCTTGTTGGGAAATAAAACCAATGGAAACATCACAGCTTGTGTGCTTGGAGTGTACACATTCATGTAGCTGAGCTTAAACCTAAAAAGCCTGGGATGGAGACGAGAGACGAAAAATCAATTGGCCAAGAGCTATAAAGGTGAAAGAGAAATTAAGCATCCCCGTGGGTACAGAGATCCTTTCAAAAGACGTGGGGCCACCTGTTAAGTCCAAATGGCTGGAATTCACTCCGGTGTTACGGCTGTTTTCAGAGAAACCTGCCAGTCTCTCCCGAGAACTGCACAGTGCTGTGAATATTTCATACCATTTCAACCTTTCTGACTCGGCGGGAGGGTCTTAAGGTGCATCTTTCATTATTTAGATATTGTCATTTCTTTATATCTTACTTATATTGTTACTCCTTTGCCTAGTGCCAGGTACTGGGGCAGGAAATAAAAGATGAAATGGGCATCATTTCATGATAGAAATGTGGTAGATGAATGACTGATTAGAAGACAATATGAGACATACTATTGTAGATGTGTAGAAGAATATGGAGACTAATCACCCTGACTGACAATGGTCCTCGCCTGCTCATCTCACTTCACTTGTCTTGGTGGCTCTTACCATCTTAAGCTACCGTTTACTTTTCTATTAGTCTTTGCTCTCAACATGACCACCTTGCACTTTACTGTATTCTTATGACGGTATCTGATACAGAGCGAGTTCTTAGCAAATACTCCTTAAACAAATGAACTAACAGAGCAAGGTGAAATCCCATAAGCTGTAATGGAAAGAGAGTCAGAAAGACTTCAATGTGGAACCATGCTCGTGTTGGATGTTTAATGTAGAGGACTTAGGCAAAGACGTCAGAAATGGTAGTCCAAATGGAGAACAAAGCAACTGAGTCATGACGGCATGTAGGGATAGGCGATATTGGGTGGTTATTAATCTCTGCAGGACACATGGTAGGGGCTTGATGGCACGTGCAAAAAGTGAGTCAGGCAAGGAATAGGAAGTGTGATAGGCTCTGTGCAAAAGTCAAACATTGTTCTTCAAGGTGATGTGAAGTTCCCAAAGGTTTGTAAGTCACAGGGGACCCAGACAGATGTGCACTTTAAGCTAATAAGGACTTGAGATTGTGGATTGCATTTTTTCAGAAATAACTATCTTACAAAACAAGGTGGTTATAATCTAGATGGCAAGATTTTGGAAAATGAAGAGCATGTTATCAGAAAGGAAGCAGAAACATCACCTTCCATGACGACAAGCTGTGTAGACCGTACCCTCCTCGCTGCCGACCACGAAGTTGTTGACGTCTCCCGTCGGGAAAGCCATTCCTGTAACAGCCACGGGCTTGGATTTATTGTACACCAGCTCCATGCTCTCCTACCAAAACATGGTGTGGTTACATTTCCATCTGTCAACTCCTCGAAATGCCAAAGATAGCATGGAAAAATCATTTGGCTAAATAGTCTGTTTGCTTTTCACACAGTGCTACAAAAGACCCCCACTGTGCTAGAAGCCAGACTCAACTGCCCCTGACATCCAGGCCACTCATATCTCTGGTTTCAGGCCGGCTGGATTTCATCAGCGTGTGCCGCTGCTTCCCCAGGCAGGCAGAGATGACAGGTGAGAATTTTGAAACTAATGGTGCAGAAACTAAAGATAATACTGTAATGATTACACTTGTCAGCTCCAGGCTTTAATAAAACACACAATACCCTTGTATTTACAAACATTTTCAAAATCAATTGTTCGTGAGAATACACGTGTATTAATATCAGATGTACTAAACACATTTGTCACAGAGGGACTGTGAGTCCGGCAAGCACTGAGACCCGAAAATTGTCACTCAGGTCATAAAAATGTAGATGTCAACGGGAAGAGGATCCCACGAAGGGTGGCTGTTGGGTGTTCAGGCGCTAAGTCCTTTACACAGCATATGAGTCTTTATTATGATAAAATGTTTTGTTAAATGAAGAGTTAGAGAGTATGTCAAAAGACATATGTGCTGCTGGGATGAAGAGATAGATGACTCAGTGGTTAAGACTAATGGCTGTTCTTCCAGAGGACCAGGGTTCCATTCCCTTCTCCCAAGTAAGGCAACTCACAACTGCCTGTTAACTCCATCTCGAGAGGATCTGATGCCTCTGACTTCCACGGACACATCTGCTCACATGGCACACGGTCACACAGACACACCTGACTTAAAATAAGTGTCTAAAAAAGATATTCTGGTAAATTAAGTTTAATGACAATAAAGGATAAGTACCAGCCATGCCCCTGGTTATTCCTGACTATTTACATCCAACAGCCGATTTTGTGTATCTGAATCTTGGCACAAACTATTCCTGGAGTAGTCCAGGAACTCAGATTTTCCTGTGCAAGTCGACCAAGCTATTTTTTGGCCACAGAGTCCATGAGTAGGAAGTGCATGCTGACAAGATAGAGTCACACGGCTCCTGAGGCCCCATGGGATACTGATCATTCATGGCATCCCTACATAAAGAGCATTGTAGCACGCTGATTAAGGGGAAAGACACCTTGACAGTAAAACAGAAAATAGGAACATCTGATGTTCTGCCCCGTTTCTAAAGCTAGCAGCAAGCGAGTTGTCTTGGTAACTCACTGGGTGAATGTGGGCCTAGGGGCAGACAAAGGGTAGGGGAAAGCAATTGTGTGATGCCCCACTTGTCTTTGCTGTCCTTGGAGACCAGGCCATGAAATACTCTGTCTCCTCACAGAGCCAGGCGTCTGTGGGCATGCTAACACTAATAAAAACAGGCTTGGAGCTCCCACACCACTGGCTTAACCCAAACAAACACATGTTTAATCAGCAAAATGGGCAATTAAAACTTCCCAAATAGAGGGTTTGCTCTGATATCTGTTTATAATCTCCATGCTTTTAAAAGAAAACAACACATTGCTGAGAATTTTAAAGCAAAACCATAAACTATCTGCACACAACTGCAGTCCTGTATAAAGACAGGCAAAACCAGGAACCTGAATTGTGAGCTGCATATTAGCACTCTCTCTGAGCCCCTAAAGTTATGTGAAGAACTTAGCTTTAGTATTCTCTACATCTGTAGAGACTTAAAGGAAGTTCTTTACAGCTTCCATATGTCCTTATATATCTTGAAACTAGTGCTCTTCAAAAATCAAATAGGAGACATTTTAGAGCTGTCATTCCAGGGGAGGGGACAGCAATGGTTAAGACTGAGAATTATCTTCTGGAAATTTTCGATGATTTTCCTCACATACCTGCCAAACACTAGCCCAGTAAACTCTTCATGGTTTTAAGTAGGGGGGAGGATGGTGCACTTTTTCACACAAAGACATGTGGACAGTATGAGCATGGCTGCATTCATGCCTGCACACATGTGCATGTCACATACGCGTGCTCTAAAGGTGACATGCCTGCCTCCAGGATTCCTTCCTACTCAGGTCCTTTGTTTCCTATTGCTGAGATCACTAGTGGTTTGGAGATGCTGGGACTTGTTCATTTTCAACCTCTCACTTATTGAGCAAAGAATGGCAGGAGCCGTGCTCGCAAATGTTCCAGAGAGGAAAACAGGCGGTTGTCTAGGGTACTGGAAACAAGCAACAGATTGGGTTTCTGTTTTGCTGGGATGCTTTTCCTTCAAGGCAAGTCCCCAGCATGGGCTGCTCTGCTGTGCTCCAGCCTCCTTTGCATTGCTTCCCAATGCTGCAGTGTGAGTACAAGTGTCACTCCAGGCAACTTCTGTAATCCCCATGCTTTAAAATGCATTATTCCGTTTCATTTGAAACTGACCTAAGGATTAGCAGATGGCAATAATGACATAATTTATGGTAGAGGAAATAGGTTTTGGCTTCAAGGGCTGACTGCTGAAAACAGGCCTTTGGACCCTCAGGAGATGTGTTCTTGAGTGGGCAGGTCTTTGAGCCGTAACACTTCAATGTGTAGGTTAAAAACAGACACACCTGTGGAGTTGAGAGCATGTCCAGGCTCCAGGAACACATTTTGCCATCGGTAGAGACAGTGATCAGGTTGTGAGCATTCTGGGTCCCAACAACATTGACACAGTACACAGGATGCTATAAAAATATCAAACATGGAGGATCAGGTGCTGCTGCGAGGGAAAATGGTTGCATCTGAGTGTCAAGCACATTATTTGAAGACAAGGCCTATCAAATGACATCATCTGGCTAGCACAGGAGCTTCCAGTCATTTGTCTTTTGTGAGCCTAATTTCTGGAAAAGTCCTGAAGCAACTACTAGTAGGTGCAAATACATACAGAACTTCACCTTGCTAAGTTATGCAGCACAATAGAACTGAAGGGGATGAGAACAGATCAGCATTAGAGGACAGCAGCAAGGAGGGCGAGGAGTCTGGGTTACATGAATAAGTCTCTACACACAGCACGGCTTCTAACCTCAATGTGAATATGAGAAGAGACAGCCTTCAAAGGCACAGGACAGTCTTCGAAGGATGATATGTTACTACATCTGGAGTTTAATGTATTCTAGCCAGTGTCAAACATTTGATAGTACTGTCTTTAAAAAATGGTTAATATAAACAAGTTTAATTTGAGGAGGGGGTGTATTGGTGGTGGACTTATTCATAATATCTTCAGTGAGATGGAATGGGGTTCCCTTCCTCCCTTCCTCCCTTCCTTCCTTCCTTCCTCCCTCCCTCCCTCCCTCCCTCCCTTCCT